GATTTGAATAATCTATCGTTCAATTATTCATCCTCAATAACTCTTCGTAACAAGAGTTATTAAGTAAATTAGAGGGTGGTTAGCCGACTAATCAAATAGAATTACTATTATTGAGCACTAATAAAACGAATTCAATTGAAAATAATTGGGAATTGAAGTGTCACTCTTCAACAATTCGCAGTATTCAAGCCCAACAGTTGAAAAACCCAATAAAAAGACCAACTCATACAAATTGAACAATCACGAACATGATAATCGCAAACGAATTCAAAACGTCAATCCCTATCCCTACTATAATGATTTAGCTACTCATGATCGAATAATCAACACAAACATCCATAAGCAAAGTGTAAGCCCCTCTACTTGTACATTGAAATCATCAGAGTTTTTGAAAACAAATCGAACTTTTCGAAAATAATTTAATTTTAAAACATACTTTGAGGGTACTTACTAAACATGTAACTAGCTTTACTATCATGTATGCTTTTAATCATTTCAGGATATCAGATCCCGACATAAAACATGTTCAATTCATTAAGATCTAGCAGAGCAATCGATACTAGTCTGATAAATGAATCGAAAAACTGAAACATGAATCCAAACAGTATTCAATGTAGCTGACAGTAATATATTCGGAAAATAAAATTTTCAATAGCGGAAGCAATAAATAAACTGCATATGACCACCACTAGCCCCTCTTGAGTCCCGCCCGACATGCTAACCTGAAAATGATAATTGTGGGGGCTGAGCAATAATCAACGTGCTCATCAATATTCCATACTATGCAATTATTCATGATAAAAATAGGTACCGACAACATTGGCATATAAATAAATAAATCATAGTCTCATAACATGGCTCATCTGTTGGTTTACCGGCCGGGAACGCTAACCCACACAGCACGGCAAACCGATCTCGGGTATACACCTCACAACCGGGAACGCTGACCCAAACGGCGGATCCTGTCCTGGTACCCACTCGCGGGCAATGCCCACTCATAGGCAAATACTCATATGCATACCTCGGCTATAAATACCTTGCGTTTATTAAGAATCAGAACATAGCATGGAAAATCCCCACCTTTTGAACTTACTGACTGGATGAAAAATGCACGTGCGTCTGAATGAGGGCTCGACTCCTCTTAATCTACATTTTGATTATTAAGTCTTATTATTAGGGATTTGATTGACGATGTGGATCAACACATTAAAACACATAAGGCACATATATCAGATAAGAGCATATAATTTAGTCAAAATATAAAAAGATAAAAATATTACATAGACTTTATTCTGAAAATAGCACCCCATAAGAATATATAAACACATGATATTAGCTCACCAAAGAGGCAATTATTCACACAGCTAACAACAAAAGTTGAATCCAGACTAATCTCTTCAGAGAAGAAAGCAGAATGCTATTACCAGACTAATCTCTTCTAGTGGAAGGGTTCTGACTACCCAATCAGAAATTGAATCTCATATAGCTGACTTTTATTCCAGTTTATTTTCCTCTGAAGGCAGTTGGGGTGGAGACTCTATTCTCCAATTAATTCCTCAATCCATTACTTCTGATATGAATGAGGCTCTCCTGAAACCTGTCACAGAGAATGAAGTCAAGTCAGCTTTATTTCAAATGCCTTCAGATAAGGCCCCTGGAGAAGAAGGGATGACCTCTCTTTTCTATAAGCACTGCTGGGAATTAATCAAGAAAGATTTTCTGGCAGCCATCTTGAGTTTGTTTGAATCAGGTATGATCCTCCACTACTGGAATCACACCATTCTATCCTTGATCCCTAAGTGCACAAATCCAGATAATCTCAGTCAATTCAGGCCAATAAGTCTCTGCACCATAATCTACAAAGTAATTTCTAAAGTGCTAGCTCAAAGACTGAAAGGTTGTTTACCTCATTGCATCAGTAGTCATCAATCTGCATTTATTGAGGGAAGACAACTTATGGACAATGTCATAATAGCACAAGAAGCATTTCATTACTTGAATAGACATTCTTCAGGCCCCAATTCTTTTATGGCTCTCAAGCTGGATCTTGTCAAAGCCTTTGACAGAGTGGAGTGGCTTAGTGTGCAGAAAATAATGCTCCAAATGGGATTTCATAGAGATTTTGTCAAGCTGATCTTAGTGTGCATTTCCACAGCCTCCTTTTCTTTCAAAATCAATGGCAAGGTTAGTGGAATTGTTAAGTCAGGCAGAGGGATTAGACAAGGGGACTCTCTGTCCCCTTACCTGTTTTTGATAGTAGCAGAAGTTCTTACAGCTCTCATTCTGCAAGCAGTTGACACAGGTCATCTCAAAGGACTCAAACTCTCCAGGAATGGTCCTCTACTTACTCATCTGCTGTTTGCAGACGATTCAATCTTTTTCTGCAAAGCAAGTGCTGATCAAGCCAATGTTCTAATGAATATCCTTGAGAAATACAGATTATTCACAGGTCAAACAATCAACCTGACTAAATCTGCAATCTTCTTCAGTAGGAACACTGCTCAATCTTTGCAAGCTACTATTTGCTCAGCACTCAATGGTATAATTCCACACAGATCCACCAGATACCTCAGCCTTCCTCTGGGCATTGGAAAATCTAAAAAAGAGGTGTTTGGTTATCTGTTGAGCTCAGTGAAGAACAAACTGCAGAACTGGAAATCCAAGCTCTTGAGTCCAGCTGGGAAGGAAGTTCTTTTAAAAGCAATCATACAAGCTCTTCCTATTTTTACTATGACTTGCTTTAAACTTCCTGTTACTCTTTGTTCTGATATTTCCCAGCTTTGTGCTAAATTTTGGTGGCAAAATGGAGACTCTTAATCCAGGGGAATACATTGGAAAAAGTGGAGCTTTCTAGCTTTACCTAAATCTGATGGAGGTTTGGGATTTTTAGACTTGCAGTTATTCAATAAGGCTCTTATTTGTAAGAAATTATGGAGAGTTGCAACACAGCCTGATCTCTTGGTAAGTAGAGTTTTAAAGGACAGATATTTCCCTCAAACAGCCATCACTCATGCAACTAAAACCTCTAATGGATCTTGGATGTGGAATTGTTGGATGGAGATTATCTCTTTCTTTTCCAAATGGTTGAGGATTGAAATAAGAAATGGTGCTACAACTCAGATTGATGACTTCAATTGGGTCCCTAATTTGCAGAAACCTTCCCCATCTCTAATTCCTATAGCTAGGGGCCATCTCACTAAGGTTAAGGATCTGCTGCAACCCAATGGCTTTGCTTGGAATGATTGGTTGGTGAAACAGGTCTTTGACCATTCTGACAGTGCTGCTATTCTTCAAATTTCTTCTTTACATCCTCAGAGGCCTGACAGAATGTTTTGGGGCTTAGATGGCAAAGGCCAATTCTCAGTAGAAAGCACTTATCAATGTCTCTCTAAAATCAAACTAGCCCAACTGGACATTCCTGAATCCAGTTCCAAATCTTCAATCAGTAAATCAGTGCAATTCAGAGTATGGAAAGTGAAAGTTGCTGGTAAGTTAAAGCATTTTCTTTGGAAGTGTTTGGCTGGTATTCTTCCTGTGGCAAGCTTACTGAGAAAGAAACACATAGACATTGATCATATATGTCCAGTATGTGGTGAAACAACAGAAACAATTGATCATGTTCTTTTACACTGCCCCAGAGCTCAAAGAGTGTGGAACCTTTCTCCTCTCACTTGGACTGGCATTTCAGACAAATCTACTAGCTTCCAAGACTGGTGGTACAAAATCTGCTCACTTGATCATTCTGAAGTTTCAGAGGCAAGAATTCAATTGTCAACCTACATCCTCTGGTGGCTTTGGAAATCAAGAAACCTATGGGTATTCCAAGCAGTCCTCATTCAAGAAGTGAAAGCTGTCAAGATTGCTCTCTCAGACTGGACTCAGTTTTCAGTAGCAGCTTCTCGTTGATCCTTGTTTTCATTTTAGTTTGTTAGATTTTCTTTCTCCAGGTGTTTATCTTTCTAGGCTTTAGCAGTAGAGGATAATTCACTTTGGTTTATTTTCTGTTGTTTCTTTCCTCTTTTAGAGGCTTTAGACCACTGTGTAGTGTGTCTCCCAGTTTGTTATTCCGGATGTGTTATGTTGGACCCTTTGTATTAGGATTTTATCCTCTCGAGTTTAATGATAATTTCTCTATCGTTTTGGAAAAAAAAAAATAACAACAAAATAAATACATACAACATTTTTTTAAAAAAAAAAAAATCTTCCAACCAAATAAGGCATGCCTTTCTTCTTTCTCTTTTTCTTAACAACTTTAAACTTTTCAAATAATTCAAGGCCAAGAAAAAAACTAAGTGAAACTTCTGAACTTAAGCAGTAGATAATCATATATCAGAGCATAAAATTTGCACGTATGTCACAACAATTTAAGGCACAGATACATGAACATATATACACATCACTTTTGGTTTCCCTTCCTTTTTCTCTAACTACAAATACTTGGCCTTATAAACTTACTTGGAGGCTCTAAAAAAGGCATATAAACAACATGTTATCGTATTAACATGGCTCAGCAATTAAATCTCCTAAAGGATAACTCAAGACAAAGTCCCCTTCATTTCTTCATTCTTTTCTTAAATTTTATTCCTCACATAACATGGCCTTGAAATTGAAAATAATACTCTGCTAACTCATGCACATACTCAACCATTCTTGCATATTAGGCTCAGCAATAAGGCTCTCAAATCAACCACACAAAACATATGAAAATAGCCTTTCTTTTTATCTTTCTTTTTCTCTCTTTTCTTAGTCTAGACTTCTCAAACTTTAAACAATAATTAATGGGTAATTAAACTGAAACTAAAACTCTTAAAGATCACACAATACAGAGAAATATACTAACATGACATAACAAAAGAGATAAACTCTCGGCACAAAATAACACAAGCCAACTTAAAACTCTACACTTTTTAACAAACTTAAGCATGTCAATTCTTATTTATTTATTTTTTTTCTTTTATAAAATTATTTCTAAGCTCATCTTTCAGCCATAATGAGGTGTAAGGTTCAGCCCATTACCTTAAAAAAACAGGGGATTACGAAATTTGAAATAGTGGTCTGACTAGGAGATTCTTTGGGCCAAAAGAAAATGGAACTCGGCTTGGTTGGAGTGGTTTGGTCTTTGCTGGAATTTCTCGGCCTCGGTGCTGCAGAAGGGCTCAGAATTCATAGGGTCTCCTCTGCTTTCTCTCTTTCCAAACTGATGCTGCAAGTGCGGTTAAAGGTTGCAGGGTCTCGACGGAAAGGAAGGTTGCTCGGGATTAATTTTCTCTATACTTTTCTGTGTGTTTTCGGAAGAAATAAACTGGGGTTGATGGAGGTTAAGTGTAATTTATAGGTGATTAGCAGGACATATGAACATTGGGGAAATTGGGTGGAGGTTCCGAGCTTTAGGGGAGTGATTAGGAGACTAGTTCAAAAATTCTCCTTGCCTTGAGCTGCTGACCGAAAAAAATGTTGAGGGAAAAGGTTGGTCCGAAAATTTTGGGCACGTGGGAGTTAAAATGGAGACCTTATCTCATAAAGCTAAAATTCAAAATATTTAAAAACAATTAACTTTAAATTCCCGGACTTAAAATGACTGAAAGCTACGTGGCCTGATGTTTCAATATACAAGGCTCAACTTAAAGTCTTAAAGGTTAGAACAATTAGGCTCTTAATGGATTTAGGCTTAAAATCAAATTAGGCTAAACATGACTTTGACTTAAAAAAAATGACATGGCCGAACTATGGAAGAATAATTAAGCACTTAGACAGTTAAAACAAATTAAACAATTAATCAATTTATAACATTTTAAGCAAATAATAAAAAAAATAAGCAGACGAGAACATCCACTTAATTCGATTTTTGGATTATTTAATTTAATTAATAGGTCGAGCTAAAAAGAATGCAATGCAAATGAATTCATGCTCTTACTCATAAAACGGGGCGTTACACAAAGCAAACATATCCATGGATTAAATGTATAGAAAACTTACGATTAATGGAAGATGAATGATAATCCGATAAACAAGATTGAATCCAAAAGGCAATAGCAAAATCCGAGTGTAATCCTTGTTCTCTGTTCGAAATTATAAAAGATAAGAGAAAAAAAATCGTGAAAAGTACGAGAGAGAGACGTCTAAACCTAGCTTAGAGCATAATGTGTTTGACAATCACAAAATCTGCTCTTTTAAAAATATGCCATCGCGCGGGTCACGGCCGCGGAGAGGCCCGCGGGCCGCGGTGAAGAGGAGCTCTATGGCCGCGAGTTTTGAGAAGCTGAACGTTGGGACCTGCTGTTAGCCGCGGCTGCGGTGAAGAAGGATGTCGCGGCCGCGAGAGAGAAATCTGAAGGCGACGAGAGAAAAGCAGCAGGCACCGCGGCGTGCTGCCTGTCGCGGCGCGGGGGAAGGCGTCTTCACGGCGTGGTATATGGGTAGCGGCATGGCAGGAGGTTTCACCGCGGCGTGGGGCTTCTGACACGGCGCGGCAGGGTTGTTCATCGCGGCGCGAGGCTAGGAGCACGGCGTGGCAAGAGGTTTTCAGCACGGCGTGATGTGTCCTAGCGTCGTGGAACTGCTTCAGGTGGTGCGGCGTGAGGGACCTTGCAGACGTAGTGCATGGGTGAGTAGCAGGTTTGTGCATGGGTGAGTAGCAGGTTTCACAACTTATTCATCGACCCTTGCAGTTTCTGATAATGTTTTCCTCACGACTTTATGTTTTGGGATCGTATACACTTGCCTGGCCTTAGAGTTTGATTTCGTTTCCTCCTACGTGTTGCCACCGAGACACTCTATGTAAATATGTTCACCCGGTCCCTTTATCATGGAAAGCAAATCTCCTTGAATCTTCCAACCTGCACATCATTAAAGACGAGAAAAATGCAGAAATCCTGAAAAACAAACTAAAAATACCAGAAAAGACTAGAATAAGGGAAAACACGAAATAAACTGAAAAATGAACTAAAAACCAACTAAAGGACCTAATGCGGGGAAAAGGAAAGGCAAAAATAACCGCGAAAAACGCGACAAAATGGGACAAACACCTATATGTGTTTATGCTGATTCGATGCATAATATGAATTTGACCACTGAGCCGAGAGACAGTGCTCACCCCTTTGTTTTTCTGGTTGTTCGAGTTAGAGGTGGAAACGAGAGGATTAGTGTGGTCATCTTTAATCATGTTTTTATATTTCTGCAAACTTTGTTGAAATTTAAATTCAGTTTGAATGTTTGAATTACGGTTTGGTTAATCAAAACGTGTTTATTTTGAAACATTTATTTATGTTTTGTATGTCTTAAAAGAAAGAATAGTTTTTGAGTAATGTCTGTTTAGTTGAAATTGGAAAATAAACTAATAAGAAAATAAATTTTCCGAAAATCTGTGCTTTTTTGTAAATAAATAAGCTTGTGTTACAATATAGAAATCGGAATTATAAATACTGATTTTCTTTCTTTGTTCCGTATATCACATTGCACTACTTCTCTTTCCTTTTATAGGCAATTTTTCATGCATTATTGATTCACACATTTCTATGCACTTACACACTTCTATACATTCACATATTTCTATACATTATAATGTGATAATGTTATTAGTGGTTGGTGTAACAAATTATTTTTATTACCGAGTACCGAATCGAAAGATTCGTTCCCCGGGTCGATCTCACGAGGAAAGCGGTTCGAAATTTAGAAGTGATATCGATCACACATAAAAAGCAAATAAATCCTAAACATATTAATCAAATAAGGGGTTTGAATAATTACTAACTAAGAAATAATAAAAAGCAATAATCTACCTAAAAATAAGAATGAAACAAAAATGGAGAAGCTAGGGATCAGGGATAATTAATTCAAGTTCTAGCAAGCCGGGCAATTAATCGTTCGACTCAAGATTAACACTCTCGCTTAGACATCTAGCGGCTCGCTCCCAATAACTCTTCGTAACAAGGGATTGAACATAGATGAGAAAGTTTGAGCATACAACACAGGCCAATTATTACAATCCCAATAACTTTTCGTAACAAGGGACGGGTCATCGACAAGCACGTATTTCAATCAAGAACTTATAGTTCTGTTACGAAATCATCTACCTCATGCGAGCCTAGGTCTACAATTTCTCCACTTTCGGTTGTAAAAGCCGCTAATTCAATTAGAAGGTGTTTAATCAACTAATCACATAGAATCAACAAAGCCCTAACTCAACTAATCAACATTCAATCGTTACCAATTGCAAGATCGAAGTGTCACTCTTCGATTATGTTAATTAATCAAACAAGAATTAATCGATTCCTAATCAATTCAACTCACATAAGCATGAACAAATCAAGCCCGACAAATACACGTTAAGCAAGAACAACCATCCCCTATCCCTAGCAATAGAAATTAGCTACTTAACATGAATTCAACACAATCAAGCAATTAACCCAAGATAATCATTCACATGAATTAAATAAGATGAAAAACTTACAATTAGTCCAATCCAAGAGTTGAATCCAATTACAAGCTTAATCTCTAAATAATTAGAAGAAGAAGGAAAAAAATGGAAGAGAAAGGTGAAGAGAAGAAAAGAAAACAAAGAGGAAGAAGAGAGGAGAAAAATTGAGTTTTATTGTGTTTTCTCGCCCTAGGTTCATCCCCAGAAGGGGGAGAATGATCCCGAACGATTCTAAACTCTGCTATTATAATTGCTGAAAACTCGACCTTCGCGGCCGCGGGAAGGTCCGCTGGCCACGGCGATGTGAAGCTCCGCGGCCGCGACATGCTCCGAGGCTGCGGGATTTCTTGCGCTGAAGTTTGGGACGCTGGCCGCCGCGGCCGCGGCGATGAAATTTGGTGCACGCAGATTTACGTTTCGGCCTCATTTGAACTCGTCCGAACTCGAAATTAAGTGCTTTTTTTCTACGCGTCGCCAACGAACCCTTCTAGCCAATTATGCTTTCCCATCAAATATACTCCTGAAATCCTAATATCCCAAATCTTATGACCTTAACATAAAAAATGTGTTTCACGCGACTTCGCGTTTTGGGCTCGTTTGAGGTCGTCCGACCTCGGAATTGTGTTCCGCTTCTTCTTATATGTCTTCAACGAACCCTCTACACAACCATGACTGCACGATGAATTTTTGGGCTAAATCTATTCCTCACGGGTATTCCGACCTGCACACCAAAAACGAAAGAAAACCGGAAAAACATATGAGAAACACAAGAAATACCATAATAGAGCAAACCACGAAATAAACTACAAAACGAACTAAGAATAAACTAAAAGACCTAATATGGGGGTAAAAGAAAGGCAAAATAACATGGAAAAATACAACAAAAATAGGACAAACAACTCCCCAACACTTAAATCTTTGTTTGTCCCGAACAAAAGAAAAGAACAGAAAATAAGACACGAACATAGATATGGTTTCAAATAAGAAGAGCCTCAAAATGCCCAACTCAATCGAGTCGGATTCCAACGACCGTACGATTATATGCCTCAAATATTAACTTGGCCTTGAAATGACAAACTCTCAAAACATAGATTATCATATATGCCTCACTCATTTTCTTACATGAATACATGCTAGGCTCGCTCAGATTGGTCAATATTCAAGTTTCAACATATGCTTGCCAATCGTTTAAATTACTTGAAAACAATCAAAGCTCAAAGATACGAATCAAGAGGACTTCACGGGTTGTAATGCGGGTTTAAGATAAGGATATATATGCCAGAAAGGAAGCTCTAATAAACAACACAATTCTCGAGCAAATAGATTACTCAAGTTCTCTGCTACCAATCTGCAATAAATGATATAGCGCATTTACCATCCACCAAACAACTCCACAAACAACACCTAACTGCTCTAATCGAATTGCAACATCACTTAACCCATTTTTTCTTCTTTTAATTTTTTTTATATATATATCCATTTTTTTATTTAGAGAGTAACTTTTTCCAAATAAGATCGAATCAAAAGGACAACATTCTGTAGGTGTAAACATTGGAGGTCATCCAAGTGTCCTGCAGTAGTCTCCCAATACTCATTACCCATCAATGTGAATTGACTAGTAAGAGGAGTAGAATCCATTCGAATCGTCCTGTGAGCTCTCATGTTTTTTTTTTTCTTTTTTTCTTTAATACTAAGTCAAGCAATACGTTCCAACTAAAATTTCACCTCATTCAAAAACGCCACCAAATTCATCGATCATCACACAAATCAGTCAACTGATTGACATGAAAAGGTTTTAAGCTCAAACGAGCTACTAGCAGAATGATGAACTTTTAGGATCAAGAACAAGGCTAAAAAGAGCTAATCAAACAAAACTCCTCAATCATATTCGCAATTTCAAACTCTAATCAATTTCTTTCAAATAAACTCAAAGCAAGTTCTAATCATTCAAGAATATGACCAATATCTCACAAGAAAGAAAGAGAGTAAGGACCAAAACCTCAAAAGGTAAATAAATGTCACTCAAAGCAATCAAGCATATATCAAGGCAATGACCACATGTCCGTCATCACAACTTCCCAATTTCATCAGACATTCATTGACAAATCATACAATTCACCAATTCCATGCTCAACAAAACAAAAACCTAAAGCTAGCCTAAAGCTAGACCGGTCCACCACATAAGCATGCAAAATCCAACTAGACTTCCCCACACTTAAAATGAGGCAATGACCTCATTGCTTCAACACAAAACAGGAAGTCGAATACTAGGACCAAACATTTTCATATAATGAACCAAACTAGCAGCTATCACAAGACACAAACTCAAAAGAAAAGACGAAAGAGAGATAACTCAAAAAGGGAAAACAGAAAAAGGGTGTGCAAACCGAAACGCCTTGAGGAGGATAAGCATCCACGTGCAAGCCGTATGCTAAGCCCAGAACCTCAATATTCATTCAACGCAATCCTCCTGTTCGAGCTTGCAAACAGTACCTGCCAAGACAAATACAAAACTCACTCCCATTATTCAAAGCTAAAATAAAAGAACATAAAGAAAATCCTAGAAAGCAATAAATCACTTGGGTTGCCTCCCAAAAAGCGCTTGTTTAGCGTCATTAGCTTGACAAAACCTTGTACAACTCAACCAGATCCAAAAAGAAGTGACGATCGTGCCATGCCTTCGTGTTTTCTAGAAGTGGTAGCACGGGAAGTT